GTTGTGCTTTGTTACAAAATATACAGGAAGGATCAACCGTGTTTTACTGGGATTATACTATGGTTATATTAATAAGCAAACAACTATTTTACGTTCGTTGTTCATTTTTTTAACTTGAAACGAACGGAGCTATACGTTTTACCAACAAACATCCGAAAAATTCGTCACAATATACGTTATCCTCTCAATCAAAGCGGCCCCAATGAAAGCTGGGTCCACGTCCGAGTACTTTGATCTTCCATATGTGACATGCATGTGAATTGCCGCTATAAGGTAGATACGAATGTGTGAGATAAGTACGACCGACACAGAGCCGAGAGAGAGTAACCTCTTATCTGCGGTCACTCCGCCTTGGCAGACAACGAGGTTTAAATAAATTTATAATGCATTTAAAACCGTAGTTGCTAATCTCGAGAGACCATCGTTGCTGCCATACACTTTTAGTGGCCGATCGTATAAAGGGTTTAAATCTGTATGTGACAGTTTGATATTGGTCTGCTCGGAGTTTAATGCATTTCAGCTGTTTTTAATTCCGACGTGGCTCAGAATCCATAGCAAATTACTTTTTTCGCTCTTTTGAGATACAAGATATGCGGAGAGAGAAATGTTGTTTATAAGTATTTTTAAGTTGTTACTGCAGACTTTAAAGGAACGATAAAGAGTCAGAACAGACGACTGCCCTTTTGACGCGGTGTTCATCGATTTAGTCAAGAGCGAAACCGATGGCACACGTTTCTGAGACCCCTTGTTAACGACGGACACTATATGATACAAGTAGTAGAGTTAGAAGGACATGCAAGCCGCATAAAAAACACATATTGCCCTAAAAATAGATCATGATTTTAAAAGCAAATTTCTAAATTTAGACCTTGATATCTTGAAATGTGTATCTGCACGCTGAATACGCAACAATGATAACCAATGTATCAATCACATACTTGTGTTAATTGGACTTAACGATGACCTGTAGACGAATACTCTACAAGAAGAGTTCCCTGATGTATTCCATACAGTGGTAGTTAAGCCCTTAACGTTGACGTAGTAGACGGAACCTCCCTGAGCCCCTTTTGTATATATTACGCAAGGTGTATTGTGATCCACGCTCTGATTTTGAAGATAGATACTCATCAATCTGAGCCCCTGTGTGCATTCTATGCACCGTTTATTGTGAACCTCACGATGACCCTGTAGACGGATACTCTACAATCTGAGTTTGATTTCGTATCCTTAACACCAGTTAATTTGGTCAACACGATGACACAGTAGACGGATATTCTACAATCTGTGATCAATTGTTTTTATTTTGAAAATCTCTGTTCATACATTCTGATCGGGTTGCAACAGTCATTGGTAATCGGAACTCTTTGGAAATCTGTTACACAATCATCACAAAAAACATTACAAAAAGCATGTTTCAAAAGCAAATTAAAAAAAATGCAGACTATATATTGTCAGTGGTCTTCAGAGATGTAGTAGAGTCAATAACATTCTTAGATATAGACCCCTCCTTCCTTTTTCCTTTTACGAAGCCCCGAACCCATTTAGGTTTATCTTGTTATTAGAGTTAAACGTTTATAGGATACTAACTGATGGGAACCGGTGTTGTGTTGTAGAAATTGTTAAAAATGGAATGAAAAAGAAACATTAACTGAGACCCTATGTTCCTGGACGGAATTTGTTCATGCGCGATTTTCCTAATTACCCAAGTGAAATTAATTGCTTAGTCTATGAAATTTCATGGTAGGTTTTGACAGGGATTTACCGTGTTACCCATGAAGCTCACTTCGTGATCCCGTGAGCGCGCGCTTATAATTGACGTCAATACCTTTTAACGTATGCTATGTACAGCGTAGTACAGTACTACTTACTAAGTAACAGTGTTTCTCAAGAGACTGCAGATGCAGAATCGTTACGACATCCATTTATGTTGTTTTTTTTAAGCAATGCTTTTTTTTAATAAAACAGTAGTCGCCTTGTGCCTGGGTTTCGTATGTTATGAAAACATTACGTTTGACTACTTCACTATACGGTAGCTTAGACTTTGTCAATTTTTCTGACGTAACATTTCTCCTTTTAGAACAGATTCACCCCAGCATCACTAGCTTGCTTTGTTTACAAGCGTAATAGTTTTTGTTTTCAAGAACCTGCTCCGAATTACATGGCTTCCGATATCGATGTCGACTGTTGATGGACAATCTCAATTGCTTTTACACATAGTTATTGTCATAATATCATTGGATGCATCAGAAACACATTTTTTTACCAAAGTATATTAGTTTTATATATGGACGGGAGGTTGGACGGACAGACTGTATATGGCAACTATCGAATAAACTCACTTAATGTATGTGGTTATGTATAAAGAAAAAAAATGCAGTTATTAAATCGCAAGAGATCTGTCTAAAGCATGGTGTACTAGAGCTGTTAGCGCTTGGTAATGATGGCTAGTAAGCATAACCATTTACTTAATTGGTAAAGGGTAATTTAACGTTAACAAGTAGTCACGCAAGGCCAAATTAAACATAATCATATATATAAATATGTATCACTTGATAAAAGAAGGGTTAACATTACTTACACAAACTATCACCAATTAAGTCAACAATTTACTAATCAGGTATATCCAATCATCCTGTACATTTAAGGTGCCACCTTACGTCAGCACTATTTAACCGAGATAACACAAAGAAGAACAAAAATGTTTATCACCAACAGTCTTTTATACAAGTTTGCGGTAAGGACTGACCTCTATTTTTAGTATTTGAAAAACGATAAAACGTACACAAAAGAAATATGACTGATATAACATAATTTCTTCTAATATGCTGAATATGAAAATTAGTCGTACACAATAAGAATTGGAGATTCAACGTGAGTGTGCTTTACAAGTGGCGACAACAGGGATGAACACATTTAATTGCGTACAGAAGTCTAGTTATATATTTTATTGGTTGTTAACTTTTATAACTGTTTACTTTGAGTCAATGAGCCGTAATGCTCAATCAAGAAGAAAAAATATTCAAACTTTGCAGTTCTAGCTTTATAACCTATTTAACGTTAATTAACATTACCAAACAATCACAGAACCTATATATATAATTGTATTCCGGTGTGAATAAAACATTTTACGAACAAGTTCCACATTGTAATATTCACACATTTAGCATACTATAATCACTACCGTACATCAGTATACCCAGCGTTTACTTAACATGATGTAATCACTACTATTATAATAATTGTTGCACAATATACATGCTACAAACATGTATTGTTCATTACTATATTTTTATTTAGTTTGTCATTTTCTGTAGTATATACGCATGAGAGTTGAACGCATACCAAGTGACACTATATTCATTAAAACCATTCAAGCATGAACGTCTATTGTAATCTAAAAGTTTTTCCCTCGTGAGTTTTCCCAGGCATTACACAAACTCATTTTCATTATGCCTTTGCTTTCAGAAAAGTACATTATGCCAAAATGAATTAAAATGCATCGCAGCTATTCCGTCCTTTAGAAATGTCAATTGGTGTACTGTTGAAAAAGAATGGGGGTTATTAAAACCCTTGATAATGTGAGTATCCAAATACAGATAGGTACTGATTAGTTACAAATCGCATAACCAGTAAAGAGGGAACGGGATGTTGCCTTACTGCACAGCAACGTGCTGCAACATTAATTTGCAAAAAAATGTTTGCAGTCCGAATACAACATATTTTTTTCTGATCGGTTGAACAAAATTGGATCGACAACCAACTTGCGACCAGGCCCAGCCGGGTGTGAAAACGTTAGGACATAGCTTGGTCGTTGTGTAAACGGAAATAGTCATATAATACCTGATAAATGGCAGTTATAATAACGTTAAAGACCAATGGAACAATGGTATTTATAAGGATGAATCAAGATTATTTTTGTCAGTTGATGATGGGAGGCGTATAGTTTTGGGACGTCCTCGTTAACGCCTTACCACCATTTGCGTCGTTGAAAGGGGGGGGGGGGGGTTGGTGTGATGGTGTGTCATTCGAGTGGTTAATCTCTTAGGATCTTAGAAATTGGAATAAGAAGCATTATCGAAACAATATTGTAAAATATAATATGTTCTGACGACAACACACCAGTGAATACTAGACGCGTCGATGGGGAAAGTGTTAACGTTTCAATTATCTATTATTATTACATGTTCAGGATCGAGCGTCAAAATCAGACATCGAACACGCAGGAGCTGGTTCAAGCTTAGCCAATGTAAAGGACAAAACCCTGACTCGACTTATCAATTTATTACAAATCCAATGCATGACGTCGCTGCAGCATTATTTTCTGAACGAGTGCTAGTAATAAACATGCACCTAAGGTTACTTGACTTTAACAGTGATGACACCTTTTGAAGTTGATTCACCTGGGAATTAATTTGTGTTTGATGACAAATAAACTAACCAAAGGTTCAATTAATAAATTGAAAATAAGTTGCATGTAATGCAAGGCTAGTTAAGTAATTTTAAATTATGGCAGTTTCGAATGACGGTATCGCTTTAATGAACGATTCAGTGACGCCATAGTTTCTGACGTCATACTACTTCCTGAGAATATCAATCTTGAAAATATCCTCGTAGATATTTTTTGAAGTATTAATAAATAAATTTGTACAGTAACGTTTTTGGCTACATATATCACCAATACAATAAAAAAAATCAGTGATATCGTTAACAAAAAACAATATCAATACTCGTTGATGTTGTCGTAAATACCGCAATGTTATTGCAGTAGTAAATAGAAGTCTAACTTCAGTGTGGTTAGACAATCGAACAACCACTAAAATGATGTTTTCCTAAAAAGCATTTAGCTTTAATCGAAAATGTTTTTGTTTTTTTTGTATATACTATAAATTTTAAAGTGCTGTCTGTATCTTCAAATTCAATTATTTGGAGGAAAATGCGCAAACGACATCTCGGATATAAGCACACTACGTATTAACAGAACTGCCTTTTAAAATACATACCTGTAGACTTCAGATTAAATCGAAGATAAACTGTCAATTGTCAACACCTCTAGCTTCTTTATGTTTGTATCTCTATCTCCAATGCTGATTCCAAAAAGTCACAACTTCCTGTTTAGGAAGCGTAAAAACAAGCAATACCCTCGTACATTGTGTATCTTAATCAAGAGCTCTCTCCTTCACCATATACTTGTTAATGGATTGTATATACGCTCCCTACTTAAGCGATCGTGTTAAAACTAATACCAGACAGTAACGCGATCACACGATCCTAACATGTGGGCCAGCTTTAATAATCATTTCTAGTCTGGCATAACATTAACGACAGAGACTTTATAAAGGATTTAATCTGCGACTTTCAAGACTGTCATTTGATACGGTAATTTTGTTAACGTACCACATACCAGGCTAACTCCAGACCGCGAGCTGATTACAAGAAAATGGTTATGAGAAGTTGTGAATACACCATCCACGTTAACAGCCCCTTGATTGTCGGCAGAACCAAAATAATTAATCATCGATTTCCTCGTAACAAACAACTATTACTCACAGTTTTTAATCGAGATTTATCATGTATATATCGTCAAATTAATGTCCATATTTTTCTTACCAGTATTGTGCACTTTTGTTAAAAAGTGGGGGATCATCATATCCCTTTTTTTCCGTTATTGGTATACCGCTTACACTGTCGATGAGTTAGTGCATACATTGGTTCCATGTTAAAGGGGTCTAAACCAAGATCGGAAAAACAACAACAGTGCACCTGTGTCAACAAAACCGTTTAACGTAACAGTCTTTCCTAATGGACAGATCTCATTCCGATTATGCGTACATTGATAAACCGGATCATGTCATTTATTTATTGAAAACACGTTTTAAGTTAGACTTTATTAATATATTTGTAGATACGCACTGCTTTAATATCTGTAAAACCCACACAAGATAAGTAGTTATTACATGTCGGTCCTCTTTAATATCAGATTTGGCCAACATTAGATTGAGAAAAAGAATGTTTTGCATACAGGAGTGTAAAGCAGCATAAAAAAGCATGACATATCAAACGTTTTTCACATGTTGTATTATTGTTTACTGACCAGACAACAAGACCAAAACCTTGTATTTTGTATTTGTTTTTGACACACCATTTTTATATAAACATTTCTGATGAGTTTCAGAAAAAAATCATATTTCATAAATAAACTCAATTCAAAATTTAATCCCCCTAGGTTCTTTCAAAGTCCACTGTCATTCATATATGTTCCATGCAGGAATATCAATGTTTTGAAGTTTACAACAACTTACGTTCTAATGAATAAAAAAATAAATATTTGGAGAACATTTATTCGCCACTCACTCCGGACGTCTGGACGTCACTCTGTCCGGGACCTTAAATTCGAACTTGATAGCCAAATGAAGTTCTAGTGATATATGTGGGATGGTAAGGCGATGTATTACACACAACCGTTTTGTTTTACGCAAAGTTACATTGAGATCAAATGTTGGAGTTGTTGTCTGGATCATTATTTCTGTCGTGATGAAGATAACTCAATAACAATTTACTTATATATGCAGAATGGTAAAGCGTTGTGTTATGTATCACTTTTGGGTCCTGACCCTTAAGGTCAATGTCACAGTGAGATTAAATGTATAATGCATCGTCCAGGGCATTACTTTTGACTAGCTGAACATATGTCAATCAAATTTAAGGGTTATATATTAGAAGAGCAAGGCGGTGTGTCGCGTATATCCTAACAGATTCACATGCATTTACATGGTGATGGTTATCTCGCTGATCTAGATGACTTCAGGAAATTAAAGCAAAACGGAGTTGCGTACAACCAATTGTTCTGAATGCTCAAGGTCAATATCAGGGTCTAGCTGAGAATAAGGATCAAATTTATTGTCCAGGCTATTACGCCTGACTCTCTCAAAATATCAGTATAAAATCCTGGGCGATGTGTCCAATACCTTAATTGGGATTTAGGTATATACACGCAGGTCAAGGTACAGTGTCATTTTAATGTCAAAAGTCAAAATTAGCATTTTGATGAAGTTTTAGTTATATATGTGCATGTAGGATAAAAATGCAAAAGATAGCTCTATCAAATTTTATAGAAATATGCAGAAAGGGAAGGCGTTGTGTTGCATACGGTTTTATGGTCCTAGTGTCCAATGTCAGATTCTAATTAATTAAAGGTCAATTATTCATATGTTTAAATATAACACATTTGCTATTCTCCAGTTCCGAAGACCTATTTGGGAAGCATAATCCATCAGTTTTACTGATTTTCTTGTTTTAACAAAAGACGATGCTCTATACGTTTGTGCATTCTGATAATTAAACCTGCTTTTCTGTTTGTAGACCAGATTTATCATCAATGATTGATGCTCATAACATTCTTAGAAATAATTATTATAGGCAGAAACAAAATCAAGTCAGCACACCATGTAGGTATGAAAAGTGTGTACACATACAATGGCATTGCTTAACCTATCACCCAAATCTAGCCACCAAACTATTATGACATTTAATGTTACTGCCGTCATTCAGAATTGTGTAATAACTAAATTCAAAATAACGTTCCAAATTCACTGACCAGTTTCCATCTGAGCAATGCCGTTCACTTGTAAGAGGCCCGTGAATTTACCTTTTGTTTTGTTAGCTTTAATCAACGATAAGCAGTACAGTTACAAACAGTAAAGGTCAGTGGACAATTTAGTTTTTGGATTTGTACCACAATGAACGAGTTGATAATTATTATTAGGGAAATTATTGAAACTTAAAGACATGTATGATAACAATTATCTGATTAAAGTATCCCTGTCACACTGCAAGCAAAACACCGGAGATTCCATCTTAATTGTCGTTTACAAAGGACACTACTCATAATTCGTTTAACTCAGTGTTTCAGCTAGCAATGAATAGCAGGGCGCCGCACCCTTCCTTAATGTTTATAACATGCATGGCGTCCTGCCCTTTTTATTGTCGCCTTCCCCTTTTTATTGACGCCCTGCACATTTTGTTGGTCGATAATTATGTTGGCTGTCTCCATAAACTAACCAGAGAGATGCTCCGAAGCGTAGCTTAACTAAACTTTCCCTCATTACAGTCGCTAATTGTACTTATAACAATAATTAGAGGCCAATAACAATGACTCAGGCAACAGGTGACCGTAAGGTGTGTTTACACAACGACCCTTTTCCTCACTGTGGTCTCATTCTCACAGTAGATGGCATGGCTTGTAATAATTAACTCCTGATTGACAATATAATACAAGGCTTAGAAAGTAATAGTTATGTTTGTCATTGTTTTACATACATAGGTAACATCATGACAATATGACAGCCAAATTATGTTTACCGCCATCTATATTGGCCTGTGTCTAGTATAGTAAACGCTGAACCGGAAACCGGAAAGATAATCCGGATTTAAGTCCTTTTTGGTTCAGGGTCCTGTCCTTTTCCAATCCTAACTGAAACGTTGTAGCGCATTTCGGCAAGCACTACTTCGTTGACTAAGTAGTGCAGTTGATAAGAGCGATTACATACAAATATGAAGCCGTGCGTTCGGATCCTGCTCTTTCAGTGCTGATTTGTTTTGCACTAAGAACACCTACGATGATTATGTTTTGTTTATTTTATCTTCATTGTTTTCATATAAAACCCCGTATTAAATAGTCTTCCAAAGCAATAATATACCAAAAATAAGTCCGTGCTGATCTGAGAAATTTCACTTTGTAGCTATCTTTATAAGATCCAGAGCGTGTATGGGTGAAGCAAAAATATCGAAGAAAAGACATAAACAATAAAACATTTGTCACAATAAATAAGATAATTATACATATGAATTAAACGACATCTTCATATATTGTATGACAGAGGAACGGAAGCTGTTCAAAGATGAATAAGGATCAAACACAATGTATACGAATAACTTATAGCATAGGGAAAATAATATCTTCAATTTCCCTTTGCTTAAAAGCCGTTTTCTTTATTTGTGCAGTTATGATTGATTGTCTTCCTTTTGATAATATTCCTGGGAGTTGTGTCCCTCACACGATTTTTTCATATGCCTTTCTGTTATATATCGGATATAGTTTGTTACTTCTATAAGTTCCCAGTTTCCTTTTAGATAAAATAAGTTGCAAAGTATCAATATTTTTATGTTTATAACATATATATGGTGCTCCCATAGCTACCAAATGTAGATTTTTTTCCGTCGCTACTTGGGGCTAAAAGTTAGCCCCCTGAAGAATCGGGGATTGTCTTTCATGCCTACTACTTTGGGGACATTGAACAGACCAAAATAGATCTTCTGCCCCCATTACAACACAATTGGGATCTTAAATATTTCCTTTCTTTCTTCAGTGTCCTGCCTTTATTTGTAGTGCCGCCTGAGAATCATGGCGAACACTTTCCATTTTTTGCTGGAGTTATAGCCCTTTGCACATAGAAAAATATCAAAATTAACTATTTTTTTTACTTATTTTCGCTACCGCTTTCTATATCAATTTGAAACTTTGTTTGTGTCTTTATCATAGTAGATTTCAGAGTTTGAACCATGTATTAATATTCCATTTTTGACTGGAGTTATGGCCCTTTTGCACATAGGAAATTATCAAAATGAACTGTTTTCCATATTATTTGTAACTTAGTATACATGTATAATGGATTACAGTTTCTCAGTTTGAATCCAGTGTCAATGTTCTATTTTTTCTGGAGTTATAGCCCTTTGCACATAGGAAATTCTCATAATTAACTGTTTTCCATATTATTTGTGACTTAGTATACATGTATAATGGATTACAGTTTCTCAGTTTGAATCCAGTGTCAATGTTCTAATTTTTCTGGAGTTATAGCCCTTTGCACATAGGAAATTCTTATTAGTAAACTGTATTTTTTTACGCGACCACTTGCCACATCAATACGTAACTTGATGCTTGACCTTTTATTGAATGATGGATTTCAGTTCGAGTTCAATCCTCATGTCAAATTCTATTTATTGCTCGAGGCAACCCACAGGCACACACAATACGTATCATGCACTCATGATACCATCTACATATGACCTCATTTGTTGTGTTAACGTTAAGCTCCCTCAACCAACCAACAAGCAACTGAAAGCATAATGCTTTTCATATGGTCATTATCGTGACCATGCTATTTCAAAATGACACCCTTAATTGTGTGGTTGCACGTGCTGGCAACACATCCACTTCCTTCAAATTGTGGTTTTCTTCTATTGGTGTCGCCTTGACACCCATCCTCAAATGACCCTGGCTG